AGGTCAAGGTCTCGGCTTATAATGTACAAAGTCACAGGAAAGTATTATTCTTATTTTCTGTAACAATAAAAACAACCCTATCCTACCTTCTCCATTTAATAGAAATCTAAATAGTAGTCGGGTTACGAGTCCAGTAACTTGCTCACGCAAAAGTCACACGAGTCGATCACCCTCTATATCTCCACAGTCTCCTATTCGTTTTCATGTCTTGATGCCAAAGCGTTTAGCCTTTCGAGGAAAATGAAGTAATAGTCGGGCATTCAACACTGAAAAGTGTTGTCAAGGGATACCCAAAGATTTGCTATCTATCTCTTGGAATTGAAACTGCTGCAATTTCACCACGGCTGACTTAGCAAAGTCTCCAGATTCTACAGAGATGTTCAGATGGAAGAAACAAATTCCCTCCTATTTGACTGCATCTTCTGCATTTTCTTCCTCCGCTTTGGATTCGCCTTCGCAGAAGAGAAAGTGTCTCATGCACTGAGAGGGGAAGAGATTTGACGCTCGGGCCGGGAAAAGTGGATGAATCCGAGTTCCCAATGCCGACTTGAACATTTGTTCTCGATGATCGGCATTGATTATGATTTATTTTTCATATAAAAGAGATGCACGCTATGCTGTGGAGGCAGTATTTAAGAAAGAACACATTTTACGGTGTTCAAATATAACCATCAATCAGATGCTGCAGGCTTGTCTTTGCAGTCATTAACTTGACAGCTCCCACAATACCATCGCGAAGGGCCTTTGTCACGTGAAGTTGCAAACGAGTTCTATTCAGTGTCCAACTTGTGATTCAGTTCCTGGTGTCAAAGATCAGTAGGATTGAACCAGTTATTGTATTGACTAGAAGAGTCATCACCAAAGTGGAGCAGATTTTCCTTCACTCTTGGAGAGGAGATGAGAGTGTCAGGCATTACACAGCTGATGCTGCTTTGAATGATCTCTGCAGAAACGTATTTGGAGCGGTAAACTAGATATGGTTAACTAACTTTTTTTTTATTTTACGAGATAAGGCCCGCTGAGCTATATAGCTATTTTTTTCAGAAGCAACCTGGCCACAAATGATAGCTCAACGAAGTGGCTTAACCATGTGGAAATTTATAGCGGCCAAATACTTTTAATTTCCCAGGTGCCGCTTGGGAAATTAACCAATGAAAAGGCTTGGACTTCTTCTTCTTCTTGGTCTCAACGCCTCTGGCCTCACTCCCCTCCAACAAATCCAAAATGCTTCCACACGATTCATTTTCAATCTCCCCTTTAACTGTCACACGTCGCCTCTCCTCCTTCAACTCCACTGGCGTCCCGTTTACTACGCCGCTGTCTCTTCAAATACTCGACGCGAGCCTTTAAATCCCTTCATGGCCTTAGCCCACCTCTTTGTAACTTTTGATTCCTGAACCTGATCAGCAGTCGAACGTGTACCATTTTAAGGGTTTTTTTTTGCCTGGAACGACTGTAAGAACTGAGTGTGGCGTGAATTGGAGATGGTAGGGGTTTCAATACAATTAATGTTTGGGAGATGTCATGGAACTGATATCACTGTGCCAGCCGACGTTTATCCGTGCTCAGTGACCACGTAGATTTAAACATTGTACGCCAACCTGCATAAGAAATATAAACTCATGGTAAGATATTAAAAGTCAGTGTGTTGAGGGTCAATCACGGACAGTAACCATGTAAGTTTAAGTACTGTATGTCAAAATATGGAAAAAAAATTACCACACTTGTCTAATGTATGCTTAGGGCATACAGATAAGATGCTAAAGGACACTTTTATTGATCAATCGATCACAGTTGATGGCATGTGTCGTGCTAAGTTGACCTAATTTACTGCTTTTAGCCCAGAATAATAGGGTGGAGCAAACCAGGCTCTTATTGGCCATGCCTGCTGTGACCTGTGGTTACTTTGCGCTGGAGTGGAGTGGTGTGATCTGAGCACAGTGTGCTCAGATCTGAACACAATGTGCTCAGATCACGCAGATCACACAGATCGGAAGCACAGTGTGCTGCCTATCTCTCACTCATCTAGGTTACACAGTTGCCCGATCGAGGCAGCTACAAAGAGACAACACGAGGACCGCCGTGCAACAAGATGCAGTACCAAATCAGGAAGTCAAATATATGCCATAGAAAACCGCCCAGGTGTTAGCAGTAGGCCAAATGTTTGTACAAATAAATTAAGGCAGCGTCTTAAGCGCCGGCAAAAAAAACCACATCGCAACATCGTAATGGGAATATTTAATGCCAAAGTTAGTAAAAGTAACAGAGGTGCGAGGATTTCATGGAAATGCCGAGTGAGGAGAATACATTTTAGAGTTCTTAGCCAACAGGTACATAAAGACAATGAACACCTTTTTCAGAATGAAGGAATCTCGACAATTCGCATAATAAAGGCCCCAAATAGTTACATTGAAAATAAACTTTACTTGTTTATAATCGACAAACACCACCTGCAGCGATTCCTTTTAACAGTCAGATTGCTAGTTTTGTTGATGAAGTTTAAAACTACAAACAACTAAAAAACCCTGTATTGTGGATGATATTGGTCGCGAAAGCCTACGTGTTAAACTGAACTACACAATGGCCACACATTCAGTTATTTTGTCAGCTTGTGGTCTGGATAAGGCTGACAGCTTGTCTATCATGCAATGCACACACTTTTATGTGTGTTGTTAAATCTATTTGTTTCCTGCCTACGTCATGTTTTTTTTCTCTTTTGTAGTGGATTTTCTCATCACGTACATAGTTTTTTGATGGAGTAACACTCCTTCTAGCAGTCAGATCAAGCAACTGAGATTCACAGTGCATGGCGTACGTCAGGTACTGCCCATACCTAGTATCTCTAAGGCAAGTGCTTAAAATATGTGCTCCAGGTGTTGCCAGTCCCACGTAAGGGTAATCCATCTTTTTTAAAATTCATAATTATTCCCCTATCGCCTTGACTTCATTGCTCCTCCTTCATCACTTGGAACCATCATTTCTCCGTGACCATCGGTTGTGGATTCCGTAATGCACGATCTACGGGTTTTCCAGTGGCTTGATTTGGGGCGCAAAGCTGGAACATTTAGGAGGGTCTATGATCATAGACCTCGGTGTTTCTAAAGCATTTGACTGTATCTGGCATGCCACACGACTGCAGTTGCCAAGCCACCATCATTTGGCATCCACTCTATTCTACAAGCTTGGACTTCAAGCTTTCTTAACTTTTTAATCTATAGCTCAATATATGCAGTAGTTGTTGATACATTTCCACATTAACTCTGGCGTTCCGTCAAGAACATCTGTCCGGGTATGCAACGTTTAATTGTAGTCAGCTGTCACATTGACCAGCTGTGGTTAGAACAATGTGCTCGCAATTGGCAGGTTGCAAGTTCAAATATATATCCAAGAAAGACTTACCTAGTCTCTAGGATTTAAAGCTTTCGTGACTGCAGGGATTCATATTCTTGGTTCTTTCGGTAAAGTCACGTGACTTTAAAATAATAAAACATTTTTTTATGATTTTATTGTTTCCCTTCTACGTGACTTTACCGAAAGAACCAAGATTATAGTCTCTAGGAGTCTAGGCTCTTATTCAGGACAGCCCTGCATTGTAACGTATGGACGATTCGATTAACACGTGGTTTGGCTTGTGAGAAGAACCCGTAGAGTGCCTTGAGAAAAGAGCATGCATATGCTGGGAAAACGAAGCTCTGCGTGGGATTCAATAATAGATTCAATAATAGATTTTCACCGTTTCCTTAGGGCCAATGAGATGGGCACCATCCCGTACTCTGACACTTCAACTCGACTTTGCGGATGCAGCCGGGGGCTAAACATTGTACATTTTCACTTGTTTTTCTCGGTTGATATAGCCTCACATATGGATAAATGGTTGCTCGTAATGGTACTGTCGTGGAATGCGTCTGAAAAGAAAACACAAGTTGAGAGCTTCACTCCCGTTTGCTGATTCTCAACCGTTTACCCACCCTACGACATTGGCCCATTGCATTTATGCAATTTTTATCTTAATAAAGTATTAAAGCTTTCGTGACTGCATAAAATTACTCATTGATTTTTTCGGTAAAGTCATATATGTAGAAATACAATAAAATTTGTTTTAATATAATTTTGTTGTATTTCTACATACATGAGTTTACCGAAAAAAACAATGAGTAATTTTTATCTTGTGTATTTGACTTTATTGGCAGAGGGGAGACATTTAGAGATGTGGTATCATAAGTATATTAATTACCGGTGTTGAGCGTAGACATAAGCCATCGTAGATATGTCACCCGTATGCTTCGACTTGTCGGGGCTTCTTGCGATTGACCCCAATTACCTTAATTCACTGTCATTTGCGAGTAAGTGAAGGCATTTTTGTGGTCATGACTTTCACCATCCCGCACTGTTGACCAGCACGGTGAAGTATGGTCAAACAACCCCCAATCAATGACATCGGCATGAGGAGTCCTTTACCCATCAGTAGTTTGGTCAAAGGCTGCTGTTTAGTTTTAATCTGCGTTAACTTATCCCATTATGATATTGTTGTTTTACCCTAATTTAGAAGTGTGTTAATGTATTCATGCTTCCAGTTTACTTCCAGTCTACATCTTAAAATGTTGTTGGGGCATACATTTGAATACATATTTGTGTGCAGTGCTTCAAACGACTGTTAAACTACTTTAATTTCTTTCAAATCCTAAATGAATATATTTTAATTCCCAGAGAAACATAAAATTCCACCCCACCACTATTTAACGTATGGAACTCGCTTTTTTATTCTTATATTATCTGCTGGTTTAAGATGACTTGAGGTTTTAATAAGTTGCCAATGTTTCACCCACAATGTTCAAACTGTTGTGTTATTATAGTTCTTTAAGAATGCATGATACCTTAATGGGCACCCTGTAAAGGATTTAGACATGTCGCAGATTTTCAACACTCGTTATTATTTTTTTTGCCAGTGGCACAGGTGTTTGCGACTATTCAATAACTGTTTTATATTTGTTTCGGGAAAGGTTCCGATGGATCAACTGTGACCGGGCCACAGATAACTGCTGGAGGTAAATCACCCAATGCATCACCCACATCAACACAGAGCTCAAACAACACCTGGCCATGACTCAAGCTCAAGGTACAACGATGACAAAAGTAAAACGGCATTACTATTATTAAACTCCAGAACAAGTCTTAAGTGGCAACAACTCTCTACGTGAGTAAACACTGGATTTCATACCTTCACTGGGATCGAATAGGTGGGGGTCTCACAGCCCCATCACAAAACCATGATGGATTTGTTCTAACTTGGGGAAGCCTTCATCAAGCAGCGGATAGATCCTGGCTGATGATCATCGTACAGCTATCGATTGTGGAATAAAGTTTTGCTGTGGCTTACGAAGGGGAGAGAGTTAGGGTATTTTTTTTTTCTCCATCGTTGGCAAATTTGAATGCTGTAATTCAAACGGTGCATTTCAAACTACCGTCTTATTATAATTATTTGATACCGAATGCTATCTTTATGGACACCCTGAAGGTGACTTTGGACATGTGGCACATATTCAATGCGCATTGTTATTATTATTAGTATTTTGCCAGTGGCACAGCTATTCGCAACTTGCAATATTTGTCTTCTGTTTGCCGGGGTAAAGGTTCGGATAGACCAACAGTCACCGGGCCACAGCCAACCGCTGGAGGTAAATCACCGGGGCGTTATCGCCCGCACCAACACAGAGCTCAGACAACACCCAGGCCACAACACAAGCTCAAGTGTAAAAAAAAAAAACTTAATTATTACCCCAGAACAAACATTCAGCTCGGAGGACAGCTAAGCTGTGGATGTAAGACTAACTTTAAGTGGTAACAAACTCTTTACAGAAGTACACACTGAATTTACAATCTCTTTTCAGTGTGCGTCAGGCAGGTGGGAGTCTCACAGTCCACGAGGTTATGTTTCCAGTGGCATAGCAAATTCCAATATTTGATGGTGTCGGCGGTACCCCGGGGTACCAAATAATACAAAATGGGCCGAGGCAATTAAATATTTTATTTCTGCAACACTATTTTTTGTCCAGGGGTGTTACTTAACTCCGCGAGTGGGGTAACCAATCAATCCGACGTCAGTGCCACACTCCGCGATGTCGAAACGCAGAAGAGGACGATCGCGCCGAAACCCTGAACGCTCGCGGTACGCACCGTAGCGGTGCACCGTGCGCAGCTCGTCGCGATGAGTCCATTGCCGCATCGCCGACCATCAGCAGACTAAAAACGACCGCATCACGGACATTGTGCGAGGGCCTGGATAGTATGGTACCCCGGGGTACCGCCATAAGGTGAATTTGTTTTCTATTTGTCATGGTCAAGGTTCCGATAAACCTACTGTCACTCGGCCACATCCAACCGCTGAAGGTAATTAACCAAACAGATTATCATTTTGATGGTGACAACGCATGATGATGATGATGGCGATAACAAAGATAATGATGCGATGGTGACAGACCTGAAAACAATTGCAAAGACGGCATAATTATCAATAGAATGGAAATTTACATTGCATGTGACTGCATCTCAAAACGCCGTGCAGACGCAACGGGCATCTTTATTGCGTAGAGAGAATCGGATAGTCATAGGAAAATGCAAATTTGGAACATCACATTGACTCTTAAGAAAGTAGGCTTTGACAGGACATATCATTTGATGTCCTGCCCCCGCACCTCCGATTAGCACGTTTGGCTACGTACTGTGCGAAAGAAGTGCAACATATATTCATACATGGACAGTGGTCCAGATTCATGGGATGAAGTTGCAGCCAAAGTAGAAAACACACAACCGAGAAGTAGACATGCAGCACAGGTCCATCACATTTTCTTGGTTCTTTCGGTAATGTCACGTAGACAGATAATAAAATTAAAATAAAAAAATAATAAAATTCTAGATTTGAAGCTTTCGTGACTGCAAGGATTCATAACCTTTGTTTTTTTTTCGGTAAAGTCACGTAGGTAAAATAAAATAAATGAAAACAACGAAATTAAATCACGACGTTTCGGAGGCAACACAAGCTTCCGTCTCTCTTCACTTGATACAGCAAATTTGCTGTGACGGTTTCCACCTGAAGACGGAAGCTTGTGTTGCCTCTGAAACGTCGTGATTTAATTTAGTTGTTTTCATTTATTTCATTTTACCTACATGAATTTACCGAAAAAAACAAAGAGTATAAAATAAAAAAATAAATTGAAAATAATAAAAGCATCAAAACCCACGACGTTTTGATTGCAACACAAGCGGTCTTCATCAGGCGGAGAGAAATGAATTCCTGCAGTCACGAAAGTTTTAAGTAAAAAAAATGCTCGGCACACTTTATTTTGTTTTCCAGTGGCACAGCAACTTCCAATATTTGTTTTCTATTTGGCATGGTCAAGGTTCCGATAGACCAACTGTGACCGGGCCACATCCAACCGTTGGAGGTAATTCAACAAAAATATCACCCACATCAACACAAAGCTCAGATAATACTCGGGAAACTACACAAATTCAAGGTAAAATTGTATATGTTTTAAAAACTGGTATTCATATTCATGCCCCAGAGAAAGCATTCATAGGTTTACATTTTGGGTGAGATGGATCAGCTAAGCTGTGATACGAACTTTAAATGGCCAAGGGACAACAGAACTCTCAGCATCAGGAACGCCGCTGCACTTAAAACTTCACTCTGGCAGATAGGTGGTGGAGTCTTAACAGCCCGTGATGAAGCCTGGGGAGCTAGACGGACTATGGCATCACGAAACCACGAGGGATGTCCACTTCATTTTATTTTCCTGGTGGCACGGATGTTTGCAACTTGGAATATTTGTGTTCTATTTGTCGCGGTAAAGGTTCCGATAGACCAACTGCCCCCGTGCCACAGCCAACCGCTGGAGGTAAACCACTAAATGCATCACCCACATCAACACAGAGCTCAGACAGCACCCGGCCATGACTCAAGCTCAAAGTACAACGATAACAAAAGTAAAGCAGCATTATTATTATTAAACTCCAGAACAAGCTTAAGTGGCAACAAACTGGATTTAATACCTTCACTGGGATCGAATAGGTGGGGTGTCACAGCCCCATCACAAAACCATGAGGGATTTGCGGTAACTTGGGAAAGCCTTCATCGAGCAGCAGATAGATATTGGCTGATGATGATCGTACAGCTATCAATTTTGGAATAAAGTCTTGCTGTGGCTTACGAAGACGAGAGACTTCGAGTTTTCGTTTTCCTATAGTTGGCAAATTTTTATGCTGTTCTTTCAACGGTGCATTTCGAACTACGGTCCTATTATAATTATTTGATACCGAAGGATAACTTTGACTGATGACATGAAATGGCAGCCAAAGCAGGAAACACAGCCGAGAAGATGACTCCTGTGGAGGGAGGGCAATGAGATGCATCACGACAACGCGAGGGATCTGCCATGGCTTGGGGAAGTATTCACCAAGTAGTGGATAGATCGTGGCCGATGATGATCACGCAGCTAGCTATCAATCGTGAAATATAATTTTTGCCGCGGCTCAGGAAGGGGCGTTGGAGTACTTTATTTTTTTATCGCTGGAAAGTTCGAACGCTGCACTTTCAACGGCGCCGTTCAAACTGCTGTCTTAATTATAATTCGTTAAGAATGGAGCATACCGTAATTGGATGCCCTGTAGATGATTTAGACATGGAGCACATGTTCACCACACTTTAATTTTGTTTCCAGTGGCACAGCGACTTGTAATGTTTTATCTTTTATTTGTCACGGTCAAGGTTCCGACAGACCAACTGTCACCGGGCCACATCCAACCGATGGAGGTAATTAACCAAAAATATCACCCACATCAACACAAAGCTCATATAATACTCGGACAACAACACAAGGTCAAGGTAAAATTTGAAATATTTCAAAAAAACTTGTACCAATATTCATGCCCTAGAGCAAGCATTCGCAGGTCTTACATTTTGGGCGAGATGGATCAGCTAAGCCGTGAGACGAACTTTAAATGGCCAAGGTACAACAAAACTATGGACATCAGGAACGCCGCTGCACTTAAAATTTCAACTCCGTGGCAGACAGGTGGAGTCTTAACAGCCCGTGATTAGATTGTGGTACCATAATGGATTGTGGCATCACGAAGCCATGAGTGATGTGCACTTAATATTTTGACCAGTGGCACAGATGTCTGCAACTTGGAATATTTTTTGTTTTTTTTTGTCACGATAAAGGTTCCAACAGACCAACTGCCCCTGACCCACGCCCAACCGCTGGAGGTAATTCACCAAACATAACGCCCCACATCAACACAAAGCTCTGATAATACTCGGGCAACAACACAAGCTTCAAGGTAAAATTTGATATATTTAAAAAAAAAACTTGCATTAATTTTCATGCCCCAGGGACAATCATTCCACTCACCGATTGACATGCCGAGTGAGATGGATCAGCTAAGCCAGGGCTCAGAAAACCTGCGGCTCCAGAGCTCCATGCGGCTCTTTAAGGAGTGCGGTGCAGCTCTTGAAATATTAAGGGGGTTTTTTTTTACCGAATTTGAAAAAAATGGCTCTTCCTGTTATATTTGGTTGCCGACCCCTGACCATGGATGTCCATATCACCATGGGAGTCCAGTTTACCATGGGAGTCCAGTTCACCGTGGAAGTCCATATTACCATGGGAGTCCAGTTTACCATGGGAGTCCAGTTCACCATGGGAGTCCAGTTCACCATGGAAGTCCAGTTCACCATGGGAGTCCAGTTCACCATGGAAGTTCAGTTTACCATGGAAGTCCATATTACCATGGGAGTCCAGTTTATCATGGGAGTCCAGTTAACCATGGCAGTCCAGTTTACCATGTGAGTCCAGTTTACCATGGAAGTCCAATTCACCATGGGAGTCCAGTTCACCATGGAAGTCCAGTTTACGATGGAAGTCCAGTTCACCATGGGCAGGAGTCGGCAACCTGCGGCTCAGGAGATGCATGTGGCTCATTAAGGACTGCTTTTTAACGTTATTTATTGAGGACCACCGTCTTGTATTCACATTGCCTGAGGTTGTTTTTTTCTGAAATCGAAAAAAAATGGCTCTTGTTATTTTGGCTGCCGAACCCTGAGCTAAGCTGTGAGACTAACTTTAAGTGGCCAAGGGACAACGCTACATTTCAAACTTCCCTTTGTGGCAGGCAGGTGGTCTTACAGCCCATGGTGAGACTGTAGGAGCTAGACGAACTATGGCATCATGACATTTCGAGGAATGGGTTACTTAATATTTTGACCAGTGGCACGGATGTTTGCAACTTGGATATTTTCTTTCCATTTGTCGCGGGAAAGGTTCTGACAGCCCAACTCTCCCTGACCCACGTCCGACCGCTGGAGGTAATTCACCAAACATAACGCCCACAATCACCACAAAGCTCTGATAATACTCGGACAGCAACACAAGCTCAAGGTACAATGATAGCCAAAGTAGAATAATGATTAAACTCCAGAACAAAATTTTATTTGCTGGATAGGCGACTTGAACTTTTGACCCGTGTATAACTGTCCATTCTGTTTTTCACCTCCAAAAGGACCAGAAAAAATCTACACGGCACAGGATATGGCCATCGTGGGTGGAGTCCTCGGTGCGCTTCTGGCGGTCGCACTTGGGGTTATCGGATTCCTCCTCTTTAAGGTGCTTTCCAAGCAAAAGAAGGCAGTCAAAATTGAGGACGATGCCAAATACGGCGGCGGTGGTGGTGATGATGATGGCGGCTATGCCAACAGCCGCAACGGAAGCGGACAGCAAGATGACATTTCCATCGCAGATATGGGAAGGGTGAGTTCAACTATCCATTTTTTTTCTCCACAGTCACAACCTGCGTGGGACAACAATCGTCTGCTACGACCACCCCAAGTCCGTTTCACCATGCCCTCAATGGAATACATTTAACTGCTGTCACTAAACCTAAGACCAGATCTGCACAGCAAAGTTTATGAATGAGTAAAGCAAGTGACTTCCCTCACGGTGACGATGACTTCAAAGCATGTTGTCTCAAATGTGTGCTCTCCCGGTCGAGAAATTCATCATGCATTGGGTAGTAAACGATAATAGTTTAGCACAGTTGGTATTCTTGGAGTGAAAGTCTATCAGGAAGGTGCGATGTTTCACATACATAGTTTTCAGTTGTTTCACAGTATGAGATGATGCCACAACGTGCAATGCCAATTAAGTGAATATTCAGTCATATTTCAAATGTTGTAAAAAAAAATTGGACCATGACCACTAGCACACAAGGGCCCCGCTCGTTTCGAATGACGCCAGGAAATCTTTGACGTTCACTCCGAAGTAAACAGCGGCATATTTTACGGTGATTACACCCACGTTAATAACCAGGGCGTCCTGCCGGGAAATGAACCACATCACGGCAACCCTGCTTCAAACCACCGCCTGCCCCCGTCCGTTGAACGAACAGCGCGACGATCGAACCGTTACGACACGATAATTCGTTTTTCCACCCTCCCCCGCTCCGTGTCCACCTCCCCGCCCCCCCCCCCCCCGCCCTCCCCAGGATGACGATCCCAACATGGTGAACTATTACATCCACTTGCCTAAAGATCACATGCAGGACACGGACGTGGATCGCAGCAGCGGGTACAACTCGGTGTCGGGCAGGCCGACGACGCCGCTGCGGGACGCGGAGGAGGATCCGGCGCCCCCGCCGCAGCCGCGCGACAATCCGGCGTTCGCGGAGGACGCGGCCGCCGCCGCCGCCACCGACGACGAGCAGGCCATCCACACCAAGTCCATCCTCGTGACGGTGAACAGCAACGAAAAGGCGGCCAACGACAAGGCCGGCTACAAGGCCGTGTGGTTCAAGGACGAGGTCATCCCCGACGGCGGCGAGGCAGCGGACGAGGCGGACGGCAGGGCGGTGGGGGTGAGGTTCGATGGCGAGCCGGCGGATGACGCGGAGGGGAAAGAGTCCTCCGGAGCAGCGGCTCCTGGCAGCGGTGGCCCCCACGGCTTGGATTCGAGCGCGATGCACACGGGAGGCGCGGTTGCAGAAGAAGATGAATTTGCCTTCCTGTAATCGAGTCTTTTTCCGAATTAAGGCTTTCAAGTTTTTTTCGTGAGCACTGTCGTTTTGCCTAGATTTTTAACTCGCATGTGTACGTTGGTGGTAAAGAAACATCTAAATTGTAAAAGAGAGTAAATGTGGGAATTATTTGAGTGGATTTTAATGGGATATGGGTTATCTTGGAATTGCGCAGACAGCCGTGGGAATATCGGAGTGGGGACTCAGGATATGCTCTCTCGGTAGGGACATTAAAAATGAACACCCAGCGTCTCACCCCTCTCACCTAGCCATGGTAAAAAGAATAGCGCACAATGCCAAATATTCCTTCCAACCTTTTGATCTCCTATTGGCCAAAACATTGTTTTGACCAACCCCTCGTAATAAAGACAACTGTGTAGTAGAATTCGGATTGCTAGGAACATAATACCTGCAACTGCACCACCACAAAGCCGCATCCAGTGGAGCTGGAGAGGTTAGGGACGCTGTCCATGCAGGAGTCACGACATTGTGCAGGAAGGCAATCCACGCTTTGCTGCTTGATCAGATCACAAAAGAACCGGGTTGTAGGTGAATTCCCAAACACCACTGTGAAAGGTAAAACACGAGGCCTGTGACATAAGGCACGCGGACATTTTCGATCACTGCTGGTGTTTTCAATCGGGGTTGGCATTTATCACCAACTGGGAGAAGATGTTAGCCGTGGTCAGCATTGCAAATGTAGTCGATCAAGAGTCCACCTGTAGTTTAAGGGCGATGAAAGCTGCAGTTATTTTAATGTCACATTCTCTCAACAATATAGGCGGCATCTGGTTTAGATAAGACGGGCGCACGTGAATGAAACAAGTCCCCCGACACAAACTGCGAGTGTTGTTGGGGTTTAGCGGAGAGCTCCTGCCCCAAGTCCATCCAGCTGCTCGGGTACACACCACAGCAGAGGGGCATCCTCTGCCTGATGGAAGTGGTGACAGCCATGGGCAGGGTCACGAATCTCACGAGAGATATTTGAGGGGGCCCGAGAGCTGGGTTTGGATCCCGTTGGGAGGGTTTTTTTTATTTTGTCTGGTGCCAGGTTTTTGTCCTCCACAAGCCACTACATGCACATTGATGGGTCATGCACCTCCAATCGGCATGGTTGGCTATGTACGGTGTTAAAGAAGTTCTACATACATACATGCACGACCACATTGGAAGCACATTCTCATTGAGAGAATGCCGCCATTATCAATCGATTACAATCCGACAAAGGGAAGAGCCACACGCTGGACGCCAACCGTGTTGACAACTTGTCTTTGCCAATATTGTTGTTATCGTGCCTGCATTTATCTTTTAAAACGTCAAATGTTCAACTCGCGGCCGAATATTAACCGCGTTAGAAATTGCGAGGCGCTTTTCCTCCACCTTACTGTTTTCTTAAACTCTGGAATCGATGGTAAATATTCATGTGAAGCAAGCACGTGGGGTTAGGGCTTCACGTGATCTGTATGTTATGATTAAAGTGAACTGTCGTTCAGCTGCCAATGTTGGTGCCCTTTTAACAGTCGAGTTTTTTCAGTTTTTATCTGCACCGAGACCAATTTAATAACCGTGGTTTTTATGAACACATTAATTCCACTTTAGTACGAACGCCCACGTGGAATTGAATGTGTGGCATCAATGTAATTATGTATAGTATATGCAACACACGTATATTATCTTAGAATAGAATGGTTCAGTTTCCTTATTTAATTTACATCACCGCGTTTCTCGGCACATCTTGGGCCTCTATGCTAACACGGTAAAAAACATTACAAGTGAGGATTAGGCTAAAGCCTCATCTTTTATGTGCTAATCAACAAATGTACTGTCTTCTTTGGTTCTTTCGGTAAAGTCACGTAGAATGAGAATAAAATAATAAATTGATCGTCCCTTCACCTGATGAAGGCCGCTTGTGTTGTGGCCGAAATGTCGTGAGAATATTATTGTGTTATTTTATTTTATCAATGTATTATTTTATTCTCATTCTACGTGACTTTACCGAAAGAACCAAAGAAGATGAATCCTTGCAGTCACGAAAGCTTTAAATCGAAATGTACTGTCAACAATTACATGCAATGATATTGTCTGTCTATTAAGTAATTAAACTTGTAAAATGAGTCTGTGAACTATGAATATTCTCGTTTAAAAGCAAACTAGACTTTTACTTCACACAGTGGGACTGACCAGACACTCCTTTTATAGAATGAGTGAAACGCTCCCACATGCGACCCAATTGTAGCGTAACAATTCAAATCAGTTGTTAAGTTTAAAGACACATCCATCAAATCGTGCATCAACGAACCGATGTATTAGTATATCCAAATCGTGTGCAAAGAGGCATGGAGGAGATTGAATGCTTGAGATTGTGCTGAGAGACACAGGCACATACACGTCAGACGACATGCTCACGTTAAAGATATAATGTAGACTATAATAGAGCTTTTTGGGTTAGGTCGCGTAAATATGAATGTGTCGTTAAACCCGCCAACACCAGACAGCCAATTAGTAAGGTTTTCCACGTGAACAAAACGACGTGCCAATTCGTTGCTACTACAGCACACACCCGGTATGTTGGAGAGTAAACCCACCACAACGTTTACAATTCGAGTACCGCGACGTTCCGCCTGTAATTACAACAACAACCAGAATCATCAGGCGACAGACAGAGCTGCGGAGAAATCCTTCTGGCTCGTTCTTAAATAGACGGGGGGGGGGGGGGGTGTTAATGTGATGTCGTCACTTGTGAGCCAATCAGGTGCGAAGACCAGAGGGAACGGGGGGGGGGGGGTAATGTATGTGTAGTGGGTATTAAACTGGAGGAAGCTTACTCTGATGCAACACGTTTATTACAACCCCAACAGACTACAACACAAAAGGGTAAACGGCCCCTTTCACCCGATACTCTATGGAGGGGAGTCCCTCCGGGCTAGCTCGACTCTTACTGGCTATCACTACGCCTACACTGCTGGGGTTTGGGTCTTCTCTTGAGTCTTCACTGGTTATAAGCCGGAGCTCTCACTGGTACAAGCTCGAGCCGACCCTAGCCAGGGGTTCGGCTCTCTTCAGGGCTCCAGGTGAGGCTCTTCGGTTTTCGGCCGGACGATGACTGCCGGGACCGCTCAGGGACCTGTCTTATATACAGGATCCCGGTTAACTCCGCCCCTAGCCACGCCTTCATTCCAGGACCTTCTCCAAGGGCCTGGAGAATGACATTACCCCCCCCCCCCCCCCCCCAGGGATTGCCTAGGGCCAATGGCCCGTCCAGCAGGGTTCAGTCTCCCTTCCGCTCCCTACTGGCACACGCTAGCACTGCCGGCTATAGGTCGTGGCGATCATGTTCAACCATGCCACTACATTTGCCTATAACTTACAATTGATATGCATTATTCATAGGGTAATCAAAATACGTAATGTGCGTGCACATTATGTACGGACGCACGCCACGCATGCCCAATCCTGCCGTTTTGTTGGGTGCAAGAAATCGCAATCCCTGTTATTGGCTGCTCACTGTTAATTAATTTTGGACTGTCGAAGCAAAGTGAGTTTGACCCCTACGGAGCCTGATGTGAAGCGAGCACACAAGGAGGGTCAAGGAGGAGGGGATTGGGTGCAAGGGGTAACCCCCCCCTCCTCCGGGGATGGTCAGGAATTCAATGGCGATCTGGTTGATGAGTTTCTCTTCATTTTGGCATTAACCCACTCCCTCCTATCTTGATTTGAAGCTTTCGTGACCACAGGAATCCATACTCTTTGGTTCTTTCGGTAAAGTCACGTAGGTATAAAATTAATAGATCACGACGTTTCGATCGCAAACCCCCTCCTCCTCCACGCTCCCTCTATCCTAGGGGTCGGCAAACGAAATAACAAGAAGAGCCTCTTTTTTTCGACTTCTGGAAGAAAAAAAACTAAATATGAGAATCAGAATATGTATTGTATACTGGAGGAATCCGATGAGCTATAAAGCCCCTTTTCACACGTCCAGTCGGGGCACGGGGTAAGAATGGTACAACAAACAGTACAAAAACACGATCGGAGTGCAAAGTACAAGAAAAGTAATCAAATCACCCAAACAACTACAACTACAACACTAAATCATCCCCATCCTGCCAGACAAAGCCCACCGAGGTTATGGACTTATTGTTCAAAAGAGACCTGGCCACAAATCATAGCTCAACAAAGTGGCTTATCATTTAAACATTTATAGCATTAAAATAATCTAAATAATTCAATGCATTTTTCTAAATGTGGAGGGAAATACCGGAGGACCCGGAGGAAAAAAAAATCAAATAATACGTAAATATGCATGTATGATACAAGGCAAAACAAGATGAAAATTAAGAGACGATATAAATAAGAGGGTATACTGTACAGGGATTCCTCTACTTACGAACGAGTTAGGTTCCAGAGGTTTATTCATGTCGATTTGTTTATAAGTCCAAATTTACTCCTGAGGATTCCAAATATGTTGTACGGCGTGTACACTAAACACGGGAAATGTAAAAGTTTTATGATCTCATGCAGATGTAGATGCCCCTGGTTCTTCACGTTCTGCAGATATAGATGCCACTGGTTCTTCACGTTCTGTAGATGTAGATGCCACTGGTTCTTCACGTTCTACAGATGTAGATGCCACTGGTTCTTCATGTTCTGCAGATGTAGATGCCACTGGTTCTTCACGTTCTGTAGATGTAGATGCCACTGGTTCTTCACGTTCTACAGATGTAGATGCCACTGGTTCTTCATGTTCTGGAGATGTAGATGCCACTGGTTCATCACGTTCTGCAGATGTAGATGCCACTGGTTCTTCACGTTCTGTAGATGTAGATGCCACTGGTTCTTCACGTTCTACAGATGTAGATGCCACTGGTTCTTCGCGTTATGCAGATGTTGATGCCACTGGTTCTTCACGTTCTGCAGATGTAGATGCCACTGGTTCTTCACGGAGATGTAGATGCCACTGGTTCTTTACGTTCTACAGATGTAGATGCCTCTGGTTC